GGTTCAAGCTCCATCTCCCAAAGACGATATTTAGCATGTAAGAACACGTGTAGATCAGCAGCAAGTGGAGCATACGGACCCAAACCAGTGGTTGTGATCAGTTCGTTCAGATGGTATTGTGGGCACGGGGGACCGAGTTCGTCTACTGCTCGTTTCATACTACTTAAATCCCCGGCTTGTGCAGCGGACTTGATCGGATACAATATACGGGCTGTAAGGCGCATTCGAAGTAGCAAGATACCATGAATGTGGTTCACATACAGACGATCAGTGTCTACCGATCTGGTCGTGTTAGAACCGTGCCCCAGAACACCATGCCCCAGGCTCAGCATGCACAGTCGTCCTAGTATCCGGGATAAAACTTCACGTGGCACGTGAGATAAATCGATCACAGCCACATACCAATTCAGACTGGGACGAGGGAGTTCGATCAACGCAGTTCGCAATTTCTCAATCAGCCACGATGGGGACTGGCTACGCCAGTGCGTGAGAAGTGTATTGATTGTTTCCGCTAAGTTCGCTTTACTGTCTCCAGATTTCCACTCATGCGTATCGGCCGGGATGGCATCGGAGAGCACAGTACTGACTCCACTCAACGTCAAACATAGAAGCGCATCTTCTAGCCATCGTCGTTTTTCGCTTTTATTCCTCACAGCCGTTGCTCCGTTTGTTTGAGCCGTCACTGTTTCCCGCCAATAATGGTAATTAGAGTATAAAAAATGACCTAAGATACATGCCAAATCGGTCTGGTCAGCACCACAAACCGCCTCCGTATTCAAATCGGTTTTCGGCACACGTTTTGCCAATGACTGTACTGTGCTTGAAACTAACTTCTCGATGTGTGATCGAAGTAGTTTTGGTCGTCCACAAGCCGTGTACATTTCTTCAAAAAATGTGCTTTGACCACAGTCCCGTGCGATCAAAGAATGAGCAAGACAATGTTTGCCACTGATGAAATAGCAAACGTGTCGAGTGAACGGGTACATGAGCACATAGAAGGCGAACGCTTCTTGAGCTAGGTCATCCATAAACTGGAATGTTTCCAGTTCGGCCGGATCCGTGAGCACGAGATCCAAACCGCTCAAGAATATATCCGGATGACATTTGGTTTGGCCAGCTCTAAACGGGGTCAGTGAGGGATGAGGAGCAAGAATGAGTTTGTGGAAGAATTCTGCCGCTCGGACGTCAGATTTATCTATCTGTTGTGATGAATATCCACCCGGACCAAATCGGATACCTTGTACAGAACTGCGAGAGTAAGAATCCGAAACAGACTGTTTCTTTTTCGAGGGCGATCGAGACTTTTCTGTATCGAATGAATCAGCCCGATCCATTTTGGCTGGTTCGGATACCGATTGCTGCCGCACCGACCCCGCTCTGCTTCCTTCTTTTGACAATACGCCAGGCGTTTTGGAGACCGATTCAGTTGCTGGTAAATCTTTCTCTTCATGCGTATCGACTTGCGAGTCAGGATGGTCCTTTTGAAGGCTCCCGTCCACAGCTGTCGTTGTTTCTTCTATAATGGCGGGTTGTGCGTCCGGCAAGACATAGGTTCTCCTCCGTGGATCCGTAGTTCCCACTTTGGTCACACCCAAGCGTCCAAGCTCTTTTTCTCGATTTTTACGAGCTTTTCGCGTGAAGCGGTACCACTTGTTGAATGCGCGTCGTACAGGCGACACGGCCTCTCTGTCCACTGTGCTCCGTGAGACACCATCTTCTGCCTCCATTTCTAAATCCGAACCGACCTGAAGTCCAACGTCAAAGAAACGTTCGCTTATCGGTTCTGGTTTCACTTTTGGTTGTTTCTTCTTTTCCCCTTTCAAAATCCGTATGGTTTCCGCGATCACCTCTTTAAAACTATCATCGGTTACAGGCTTGGGTGGTTCACTGGTCTCAGATTTTGTCACATTCAGCTTACTCGTATCTGAACTCGAATCTGGTTGGGTGAGCTCTAGCCCCTTTTTACCTTCCGCAGTTGACTTTTCACCTTGATTTGGCTGGACAAAATGAATTTACGGGAAATCAGACAAAACCTGTTTGTGGGATTATTATATGAATTTTTTTGATAGTCGATGAAAGCACAGAGAAAACGTGGAAACTCATTCAGTTAGCATTAGGAAATAAGAGCACACACTGACTTAGACTGCCCTTTATCTAATATACAGAATGCAAATCTGGTTATCTGTAGGTGATAAAAAATCAACCAATCGGTAAAATGAAACTCGGTTGAAGCACTGGATCAACACAATCTAGTTGGAATGATTTACATAAAAAGGAAGGCGATCCTGATCAGATAATTGAATGAAAACACCGATAGGTTCGTCACACTTTTTGGGAGATGGGACGTGAATAGATATCAATCGGGTAAACGCATTCGTAAAAAGAAGACAGCAATGATATAAGGTTCTATGGCCTAATTTCATGCAGTTACATAAAGCAAACATGTAAACGCTTTGATTCCATTCAGGAGACTTTCAATCGCTTTTCTTTCCGCACACCTTATGTCAGGTACGTGTGTGTTGCAGAAATAGGGATCTATTGAAAGCGAAATGACTGTTACAATGCATCGACATAGGATCAATGCAATCATGTACCCGAAATTTGATCGTAATGAGAATTCAATCAAGCTACAAGATCCATCACCAACTCCGCCTTTTGCTAGCAAATCAATGCCAGCTAGAGGAACCGATGGAATGAACAATATACATGTGCTAAATTGAGGATGATGATTCTGGGTGGGACACTTGATGCATTTCTCGATCCGATATCGACGAAACGACACCTGACACGAAACCGGGGCGCTTATGGACAACAATATTTTTTTAACGAGAAAGAAAAGAATTAAAACATCTGGTCAGACCATGAAGCGTATAACTGGGACCGAAAATGCTGAAGTGAAGAAAGGTAGCACGGTTTAAAACACCATAAATGGGACAGATACTCACTTGAGAACGATCTGCGGAATCGGAGTTCCTACAAAAAAATAACAACGGATCAGAATGTAATGAGTGATGTGTTAGGCCGTTTCAAATGAAGAACAGTTTAAGCTGAGAAACACACCACACAGATTTGACGCTTACCTATTAGATTGGAAATGATCCGGTTGAATGAGAGATATGAATGAAATAAAAGATATCTGAACCATAGAGTACCATATTTTCATTTCAAATCTTCCATTTGGTTTAGATTTAGATCGATCGAGTAAGATATAAAGTGAGACTATAACATGCTTCTATATCAATCGTCACGTTTGCGATCTCGATCAATAGAAAATAATGATAAGCAGGGAAATAGCGATGAGAACCAAGCACTGATCTAACGATTGGAAAATGAGTTGATTAATGAATAACCCATTTGTTCCTTCTGTTCGTTCATTTGTACGGACAATCTATTGCACACGAAAACAAGTGTCATCAAGCTCCAAAGTTCTATTTTTTTTTAATTGTATTGCTTTCAAAATTGCTCACACACCAGTATGCCGGGGTGCTTTTCTTACTGAAAACATCGTAGTAAAAGAAAGAAGCTAAGGCTAGTTAAATATGAAAACAGATATCTAACTAAAATCCACTGAGACGAATATTATTCACTGAGAAGTTGCGAATGAGTAGGCTAGTAAGTTAGAACAAAAAAGGGAAATAATAAGGCACGGTGAGGAAAATTCCAATTGGCTTCTAGATAGGTTGATCCATATACGCCGTGGATTTCGAAACAGAACCAAGTTACCGCAATCAACAGAAAGAAGCTCGTATATGTGTGAGTGCATTCCCGAAAACAAAAGTTGTTGGTAAAATCCACCGCTCACAAATTATATTTATATGAAACGATATAATTGGGCGGCAGAAGCATCGAAAATATTTTGACGTGACCGAAAAACGGTAAACAATTATTTGTGACTTGTACACCTTATGATTAACAACGGATATTGACACCGATATGACATGAAATTATGCATAACATGACTATACTCTAAATTGTTAGCCAATAATGATAATTCAATAAGAACTAATCAAGATCCAAGAGCCAAGCGAGTTTAATTCATTCGGTCTATGGATGGAAAAGTTAATCGAAACTTATGGTGAATACTATAACATAGTTCACGCATAATATACCAATTGAATGTTTGAATTATCATCATCATCGCATTTCGCAACTGCTTGAGTTAAAACTGTACGTCAAAAAAGACGATGGTACAAGAACTCCTATCACAGAGAAGTCGGTCAATGAGTTGTTCGTGAACGTAGTATTGCCCGGTTGCGTAAACAAAGCAGAAAACCTTTTGTGAGGATTCACACGTTAAACCTATGCAAGGATGTTAAACGATGTGTGTGAGAGATAGAGAGAGAAAACCAAAGTTCATCTTCAGTGACGGTGTTCAGTCAGTTGAACTTTCAAACATTCACAGTGGTCATTACACGTCCAGGGTACCCGATAAGGCCCAGCCGTCGCGATAAAGAGTTCCCGGATCCGGTTTGTACGCGTCTTGTTCGGTGAGTTTCCAATCATTACGTTCTTACTCCCTTAGTTTATCTAGCTGTTTGTGGATCATCAAATCGATTAGGGACCAACATATGGGATTTCGGTCGCCTCACTTCAGTATAAACACCCTGATCCCAACCACGACGAAAACTTTTGCTCCAGAAGACGCATTCCGTGACAGCATTCCCCGGGGCAGGGGGAGGCGATAGCGAGGCCTCGTTCATCCTGATAGAGTACAGCAAATTTGAGGTGAATTCATTGAATCCAAATTATAAAAACCTCATCCATCAACAAAATATACTGAGCGTTTGATGAGAACATTTCGCTGAACTGATCCTTTCTTGGTCCATTTTAGATGGTAGAATTTCAATACTGCCACAGACTGCTCTTCCGGCTTCGAGTGAATAACACCTGAATGGCCAAAGGATACAAACAACAGTAGCTAAATAAGCCGTAAAATCTTATCGGGAGACTCTGTCCCGCAAACTGTAGCGAACTAAAAAGCAGTTTGAGGGAGGCTGTTGTTAGGCGGTGTGCTATTAACAGCAAACTTTGGGTTCTCATTTTGCTAGAGTAACCGCGCGGTGGTACACCGCATTTAACTTCAAAATAAACTCATCCGACGGACGAGACTTCATGAAAGCAGAACATGAGATATATATATATATTTATATTTATTTTCACATGGTGAAAAGGGATTATTTATTGCCATACGCTCAACTGCAAACAAGCACAGATATAATTACACTACACGAAGCAGCTATGATACGGAATGTTTCGTCAGTGGACAAATCCGGTAACCAGTACTTGTACACGTGGTAAATCAATAATCACACCCATGTATGAAACAGTGTCCAGATGAGCGGCAAGTTAGCTGAACAGAGTCTGATAAGGTGTGTGGTATACACAAAGAACGAGGAGAATATGCACAGTAGCAGGGGGTGTTAGAAGCACTCAATAGACATGCAACGACGATGAGAGGAGAAAATCCATGATCTAAATATTGGGGGAAGAAATAACGTCCGATGAAGATCAATTATGTGAACCCAACATTGTAAAGCATAGAGCATGCGAACAGAGCGCTGAAATCCTGGAAGATAAAATGTGCCACTATCTAGTCCGTACGACAGAAAAGTTGGGTGGGATCATACGTAACAACTGAGAGGATTTGGGTGAAGACCGTTTTCCTGTGCGCATGGAATCCATATGGGCTAGAAAAATCAAATCATATTTAACCACCACGCTAACAAAAGTCCAATGCGGAATTCACATAACAGATATGACGAAAGCCTTGTGCATATTCGTGGTAGAAAATACACGGCACAACATATGATCGAAACGAGCCTGAGAGAATACTAGGTGGTCAATGGAATTTTCCAAACGGCTTCAGTTTGAAAAATCTTCAACTAAATGGGATCATTCCCTCTTGTTGGTCTATCAATAGTTTGATCACAGAAAAATAGATTAAACACTATATTGTTTGATAAATCAATGCTGATTAATTTCGATCGCGTAAACTCAATATTTGAGTGCGCGAAGAGAGCAAAACCATAGTGGGAAATTCGAGTTGCACTCACTCAATTTTCACCAGATTCCGCACTTCGCCGTTCACCATAGCACCGGAATTCGGGCACTGTTGAACACGCGCACGTAGTCGATTGGTAGCGGTGAGCAGATCCGTAAAACCAAGAAGTTGATCTCGTGTAGGACGATCCGTTTTGGCACTTTCGTCGTCGTCTGAGCCCAGAGCATCAACGCACTGATAGACTTCATTGAGCAATGCATGACTCTGATCGTATGTGAGCAACAGGCCGCCCTCAGCCAAAGTATTAGTGACTGAAGCCAGCCTTTGTGCTTGTTCCATGGTCAAATCAGTTTGCACAGCACTCTCAAACAGTTGGGGTAAGATAACTTTGCACTGCTCATGCATACTCAGATCATCCGCGTGCTGACGAATATGCTGTTTCAGTTGGGCCAATTCTTGATCTCGTTCGCTCAACAAAGCTTGGAAAGTGCGTATCGTGTCCTGTAGCAGTTTGTCATCCACTCGAGGAGCCCGGAAACCAGGCATATCACGTTCCATAGCATCATACATAGTTCCCTGTAAATCCAAAGCACCCATGCCATTCAATGAAACAAGACAAGTGGCAGGTCGAAATGTTTGAAGTAAAAGTTGCGTTACAGTAGGCATGGTACTATCAGCCGTATTACCAGGTACCTCATTTGGCGGATCATCAGACTGGCTCACCTGAACCATGATTGGGCCTGGGCTGGACATTATGGGTAAGATATTGCTACCGGGATTGATCGCAGATGATTGCTCAAATTGGGCGATTCGAGCTTCTAACTGTTCCGTATAGTCACGTGATGCGTTCAATTTCAGTTGCAATTCACGAACACGTTCGTTTTGTTGTTCCAGTTGAATCTGGTTTTGGTCGTGTAACCGGATGGGTACACACGAGGAAAGGCACACAGAACAGTAGAGGGATAGTCGTATGGAGTAAGGAAGGAGAAAATGAGGTTTGATATACGTGAGGTGATTGCGAGCAGATGAGTGGCGTTTGTAATGCACAAGCAGTAGTCCAATAAATGAGAATACACAAAAGTAGTGCGAAACGAGGGTCCGTTTACACTGTTCCCTTCATATCTCTACCACATGAATATATATAGGTTTTTATGAACCGTCGTTCTATGGAATTAGTGGACAATTCAAAACTCAGCAGTGGACAGAACAAATTCAGAGAACCAATACAAATCAATAACGAGGACAACACCCAGACATACCGAGATCTGAGTGAGGGTGGGATTAAATAGTGTGTCTTGAATTTCGTTTCATTGGTGAGCGTTCCTATGGACATCATTGGCCTCATTTAAGGGGAAAATCGAACGCGCACGCGCACAGTTGTGGGTTGACAAGCGTTGCACAAAAAAGTGCAATTTGACGTGTTGTTTTTGTTGTTCATTCGTTTGTTTGATGTCTGTGCCACGGTTATCGATCGTGCCACATCGTGTTCACGATCACTATGGTTAAAAAGCTCAGTGAATGAGCTATGTCACATCTAATGCAGGGTGTCCATTACGAAAGCCAGGGTTAATGACTAATACTAAAAAGGTGGTCCAGAGTGAGAGAGAGAGCATGTAACAGCCATCAGCCACCTACACGGTAGCATAGATTTTGTGCCCTTTGAACGTGATGTAGCAAGTACCACCACTCAGTTTTGGTACATTACTACATTTTCGAACTCTAAGGGTACATAGTTTCTACGAAGGGAACAAATTCAGTTACTATATTTGATAACAACAAGCACAAAACGATGAACTTTCGGCTTTAAATGTGAAAAAAATCACGATTGAGACACAAGAAGCACAAGTGAAATAATAATCGGTTCACTGTGAAACAAAACAATACACAAGGAGCTGACCGGTTCAATAATCACTACATCCTTCGACAGGACACATAAGAAAAAGGAGAAATCAAAATCAGGCATTTTCGCAAAAACGTGCTCGTGGACGGAAATCGTAATATTTTCTCGCACTCTGCTTGTCACATTCCTTCTGCCGTTTTATTCAAATGTCCGGTCTGACACAGTAATCAAAACCGACGCATGAAAGTGCGTTGTTTATGATTTTAAAAAACTGAACAGAATTGAACTCATTTAACACCCCTAGTCATGAATTGCTGAGCGGAGGAAATTTTTCCTCATATTTCACGGTGTGATCAGATAAAATTAAAAACATATGCATATAGTTGCATTAGCGAACCAGATAGGTGACAACCCAATCAGTTTTAATGAGTACCGAAACGACCCTTACGGGAGAAGGTACGCAAAATGTTTTAAACAGCATCAACTCAAGCATCAAACAAATAGAGGTGATCAGAAGAAAACCCTTCACCAAATTGATTGCACCTTCAATCAGTCTTGTGTGATAAGGCATCACGGAGAAACAGGGGTTGGCACGAGGCAAGTCATTTTCTTTCCCATCGGTTGCGCATTGGTCAAAGGAAATCGAAGTGATTCCCTAAACTATTCTAAAACCTACGGGTTTATAGCAGAAGGTACTACGAAAGGGGTTATACTCACAGCAGTATGTACAATAAAGGGAACTGTTTGTGCCATTTGAACGTCAAACGTCGGATTAAAACAAGTCCGAGAAACGATGAGATGTACGGTCATGTTTTTTTTAATTCTCTCCTCTAACGATTCAAGTATAATTGCATTACCAATTTCAGGCATAAATCTCTCGGAAACACAACTTACAAGTTACTTTCTATACAGGAATCGTCGCTTATAAGAACACCGGGTCAATAATATCAAAGTGCAACTAACGGATATGGGAAGCTGAACAACTCCTTCTGCATACCTAGTTGACAGACATTTTTAGAAACAAATATTCTAAAGCGTCTCAGTTGTTGCAGCACATTCGAAGCCTGATAAATACAATGGGGTCAGTATGAGATTGAATCTGTCACATGCGATATTGATGATCAAGCGGCGGTGGACAGCATCAGATTTGCACAGAGGCCGTGTTTGAATCACACAATCATCGGTTTTCTATTGGCTGTTTATGTGCCCCTAATGCCATATATCACTCATCGATTAGACGATTGTCTATTCAATGAAGGAAAGCTAATGATGACTACTACTACTACTACTACTACTACTACTACTACTACTACTATTACTACTACTACTGGATTTTCAATACAACTCAGAAATACTGATGATGTTAGCATATGCTTACTTTAAAGAATGGCTACTTAGGCAACTAACAATTACCCGTTCAGTTTTATCCCCATTAAAAGATTCTCACGATTTACGGAACTGTACAGTAGTACCTACGGTAGGTCATGTTAAAAAACCATCCAGGATTTTAGGCTGTCTTAGCACTGCAAAACCGGTATCGATCCAAATTTTCGGTTGCTCCTGCACAATATTTCGTCGTACGTCACGTTTACAGCATCTAAGTGGTATCGGAATTTCAAATCCCCAGAACAGAAAGCTATCATTCGTTTTGGGTTATAGAGACTATATTTCGCGTTACTGGTGTTTTTCTTGCTATCTTTTAATTTTTGTTAATTAGATAGATGTGAGGGATGTTGATACCATTTTGCAAACACTATCCGAATATTAATTTATCAAAGAAAAAAAACAATCCATCTCAAGTTAAAAAAAGAGAACCGGAAAATGGGAACAGCACAACCAATCAGAACGATTAGGGGCAAACAAGGTCGGCTGCCGGTCGGCTAGCACTTTGGTCAAGTCACATGACCTCGATGCACGAATGAACGTGAAAAACAGCTTTGCACGGGCACAGGAAGTGTGCAAGGCTAACACGAAGTAAATCCACTCTGTATGTGATGGATCGAACCAGGAGAAATTGTCAGCTTAAGTCCAAAAAGAACAAATGTTTTTCTCATAAACAACCACAGCTGTTGATGGAGTGAACCACTCATAAACCTCACATTAGGGATCTGAACTATTACTAAGTTTACTATTTTGTTGATTTATATAATTATCAAAAGAGAGAGAATATATAATACATCATATAACAATGGATTTATTTTGAATAAGAATTAGGATTTTCTGTCCCCAAGCGTTAGGTGTTCGTGACAGTGGGACTTATCCCTCCCCCCCGACCGGAAATTAGATAATGTGTAGTAAACGTAGGTGGGTGTGTGAAATTCCGGTGCGGTAAAACCTATGAATTGAGATTATAATGATGGGACAGTGAACAAAATAAAACGGAAGCTCTTAATTATCCACAAAAGTGAGATAAGCACTACCAAACAAAAGTGCAGTGATATCACGTGTTGCGCTTTGAAAAAAGGCGCCTCACACGTTTCCATTTTCATTAATTTTGCTGATTCCGTTACACAGTCATCACAGACTGAAAAGAAGCCATTACCTATTCCCTACAGCAAACCGGACGAACGCCAAAAATAACGAATTGAGATCCAATACGCGCTACCCACAAAACACTACTCACACGTGGCAGTATTCAAATTAGTTCTCCTCCTCTCCTGTTTCACAAACACCTGAACAAAAAAGACGACGTTGATAAACTTTCCTATGCAGGCTTGATTCATGGCTGTATAGACGAGGTTGCACGAAATTGATTTCTAGTCAATGACCCACACACATTCTTTTTCTTCTCTCAAGGGAAACAAACAAAAAAAAATGAGGTCAACACTGCCGCTCTAAGGATAAACCTCATGGTCAACGCGTAATGGGGCAGCAAAAATGCTCTCAGCATTTGAAATCTGCCAGTTATTCTCTTTGTCTACTTCTCTATCGTGAACACACGTACACACACAGTTGCACCGCTTCATTTTCAGTTCATCAATTATTTTCTCTTCATTTAGTACTGGAATTCTTTTCGATTAATTCGTTGAATCATGCAGACATACACCACTACCTCAAAGGGGAAGACGTAAGCCAGCCATCAGCTTGTGTGACTAACGTCCATGATGAAATTACGTAGAATGTTCCAGGAACGCAGTAAATTTGACACTGGCCTTGACCTTGTCACAGCAATGATTGAGATTGTGGAAAAACATTGTTTTTTTTTCTTTTCTTTTACCTTTTCATTTTGTTGAGTACATAATGATACAATTTTCAGGGAAGAAGTGGTCAACTGAAGCGCTCCCATGCAACATACGCAAATGGGGAAAGTCAGGCGGTGGTGGTCAGATTCGAACATACGTCCTCCGGGATGATAATTTGGTGACGTTACCCACCGCGCCACCACCGAAGAGCTTGCCACGATATTTTAGCTTCATGCCACACACGTACCACGAGGAATCAATGCGACATATCATCAGCCAGGTTCGCGGTCACTGCAGAAAACCGGATCTTATTCATCTACCACGATGTGGACGATGGAACAACGGAATAACCCATGATAGTATTCAAATATTCCAAATTATTTTCATACGTGGTGTAAACTGCTTTTACCTGAGCCATGTATACGACTAAATTAGTACAATTCAGGTCACTATGTGTACAGAGAGACAATGGTATAGTTTTAGGTTAAAACATTCAATGACAAACAAAGCTCAAACGTTTGAAAGGAGAAGATAAATACGGTGTTTAAAAATGGAGGAGACAAATAAGTCATCAGCTGTGTGGATTGTTGGTGTTAGAACGTATAAGAACAAGACATGGTGCAATGGAATTCGCGTAATTATGAATTCTTATTTAGACGCAAGGACTCCTGTAAAATTATTACGGTTTAGCGAGTTTTAAAAAAACTGGCCAACTTTATTACTAGCAGAAAACGTTTCTTTTGTCCCCATAATTCAGTTCAGTTCAGTTTGAACA